AAAAACAAAAATCTTAAAACAAGAAAATAGCAAGTAATGTGGAGAGGTAGGGAAGTTAGAACCTGCACTGTTGGTGCAAATGGGAAATGGTGCAGCCACAGTGGAGCTACATAGCCGTTCCTTGAACTATGCTACAGTCCAGCAACCCCATTTCTGGGCAGACACCAAAAACAACCTGAAAGCAGAGACTCAAAGAGACATTTGTCCACCATACTCATAGCAGCCTTATTCATAAGAGTCAAATTCCGACACCTGCTACAACATGAAGGAACCTGGAGGACATTATGCTGAGTGAAATAAAGGACAAAAGCTGTATATATAGTTCCATGTGTATTTAGATCCTTGGAGTAAGTGGTCAAATTCATAGAGACAGAAAGTAGGTGGTGGGAGGCCAAAACCTGGGAAGAAGGGGGACTGAGGAGCTGTTGTTTAGTGGGGCAGAGCCTCAGTTTTGCAACATGAAGAGAGTTGTCTAGATGGGTGGCTTTGGTGGTTGCACACCGGTGTGAATGGATGTGATAACTCTGAACTGGAGACTGGGTTAAGACAGCCAATTTTATATCGTGTATATTTTGCCACAATTAACTTTTTAAAAAGAGTAAAATAGTATGAGGAAAATCCCTCATGGGCAACTGAACACCAAATATTTCTGAGGAAACCTTTTGAATGAGAGTCATTCTGTTGTTTGTTTGGCTTCTAGAAAAAGAAAATGAACACAAACACATCAGCTCTTAAAATGGTCAGAAATAGAGGAGACCCATGTCCCAAGACAAAAGATTAGGGTATTTAGCAAATGAGAAATAGGTTGGAAATGCCCTTTTAATTGAAAATATCACTCTGGTTGGTGTGGCTCAGTGGACTGAGCACTGGCCTGTGAACCAAAGGGTTGCCAGTTCGATTCCCTGTCAGGTCACATGCCTGGGTTGCAGGCCAGGGTCCCAGTAGGGGGTGGGTCCGTGAGAGGCAACCACACGTTGATGTCTATCTCCCTCTCTTTCTCCCTCCATTCCCCTCTCTCTAAAAACAAATAAATAAAATTTCTTTTTAAAAGAGAAAGGAAGAAAGGAAGGAAGGAGAGAGAGGAAGGAAGGAGGGAGAAAGGAGGGAGGGAGGGAGGGAGGGAGGAAGGAAGGAAGGAAGGAAGGAAGGAAGGAAGGAAGGAAGGAAGGAAGGAAGGAAGGAAGGAAGGAAAAGAAAGAACCCTACCAGCAAACACATGGGCAGAGGCAGCCTTCAGAGATTCGAAGAGAAATCTTGTCCTCTCCACCCATCTGACTTTTAATAGGGCTGCAACTAACAGAACGCTTTTTTTTCTTCTCTCACATTGGTGACATTTTCCCTAAAATCCTCCTCCCATGAACTACCAGATGACCTTGGGCCCTAAAGTTTCAGTACATCTACAAAAGCTTCCAGAGAGAGAGAGAGCTGAGCCCATGAAGAACTATGTTGAATTAGAGCTTCTCTCTGAAACCACAGAGTGCAAACCAGTTCTTTATTTTATTTTATTTTATTTTATTTTATTTTATTTTATTTTATTTTATTTTATTTTATTTTTTACCCCACACAGCTCTTCAGAGACAAGATTGAGGTGGACCAGCACGGTCAGGGTGTTGTTTTCATTGTTGTTTTTGTTTTGTTCTGTTCTGTTGGGTTTTTCCAAAGAGGGACTTTGAACTTTTACACTAAAGCCCAACAAGCCCTCCTCCGCTCTCTGCACACACACATCTGACACGGAAGGAAGGCCCTGCTGGGTGGCACTGGGTCTCACAGGAGGCTCCGCGGGGCTGCACATTGGCCTGGCTTTTTGGAGTGGGGTGTGGAGCCCAAGAATGCATGAAAGCATGCTGGAAAGACAACTGAAAATAAAAATTAAATTTACATTTCTAGAGAGATCAGGCAGGAGTCATTTAAAAGGGAAAAAGAGTTCCCGATCTGGAGCTAAGTCTTAGGAAATGGAGAACTATGTCTCTACAGGGGCCTCCCTGTTGCAAAATCCAACGATATCCAACTAAGGAGCCATAAAGTAGCAAAAGCTATTTTTTTAATATTTCAAGCAGCCTGTTTCTAACTGAATATCTGCCCAGGATGCAGTCACATGGGCTAAGTGAAAGGTCAAGTTGTTTTCTGGTTGAGCTGGAAGTTGATCGTGTCAGCAGGGTAACATGAGAGAGCATGTCTCATCGGGGTCAAAAACTCTGATTGGCCACTGATGAGATCAAGGGCATTTCTGGGATGAGCTTCTTCCTTGCTATTCTGTTATATGTCTTTGACTAATAAAAATGGAATGACAGCTGAATTAGTCTTGTCAAGTGCACTTTGGCAGGCACAATTTTGCCAAACCCTGGTTTCACAGAGAGAAAAAACAAAGGAGTCTCGGGTGGTGAGAAGTTTGGGACCCGCTCTGGGGCCTCCTCTTCCCCTCCCCTGAGCACACACAATTCCCCGGGAATGAACAGGGTTCCCTGGGGCCACAGTGGAGCGCGCCTGTTGTGTGAGAAAACTCCGAGAGAGACAGTGTAAATTAACTGCCTCTGGTTAGACTGAGCCAGGAGGAGGAGATAATTAGTTGGCATTGTAGGAACGAGGGCAAAGAAGAGAGTTCTATATTTACTCAGAGGAAATCCAAAATAGACTACTTTGCACCCGTTTGGTGTTCACGGGTGATCTGGACATCTCCTAGTCTGTCAGCAGGCATTGAACCCAGAGACCAGATGCACTGCGCCACCAAACCTGTGATGATGCCACCCACCCAGCCCACCTCCAACAGACAAGGGGAGAAGGCTAAGGGAAGCCGGAAAGACACTCAGCAGCAGTAAAACAAGACTCTGGTTTTCCTTCAAACAAAAGCCCTACAATGAAAAAAACAAATAAATGCATCTCTTTATAATAAAATGGGTTGTCTAAAAACCTGATATTGATCAATTCATAGTGCCATTTGGTGGGTATGTGTAGATGGGAAACATTTTGGAAGTAACACATATTTCAAGTGATGCAGAGGCATCATGGGGCTGTTTTACTGTGCAGAGGATGGGAAAATAAATGCCTTGCTCCCATAAGCACTGTAATATGCTGCCAAGATAGAGTTTCCACCTTCTTGGGGGAATTCAAGGCATCCTAGCACCAACAACAAAGGCATCATATGTGAAAATCTTTTCTCCCATAGGTGCAAAAAGACTACTTCCTTTTGTACGTGTAACATGTGTATGGCATGGAAGCACATGGAAGCATACTCAGCTGTATCTGTGGGTGCAGGTCTATGTAGTTTCTTGCATTAAGAGCTCCTGCTCAGTGTGGAGTCGTTGGGATATGAGCTCATGAGATTTAAGTTGCAGGTGAGTGCTTACAGGTTCACAAATGTTTCTGAAGCTGCTTTATGGGGTGTTTATAACAAGAAAAAATGTAACAATGATGAGTTACATTGGGTGCCTGCTGGAAAGGACAGCTGAAAAAGACCAGATGAAGATTAGAAAGTTTGGGATGCATGCTGGAAAGGACCAGCTCTGTGTCTGGGCTGCTCTCATGTCCTTCTGATTCCCCCAGAGGTTCCCAAGGGTGGCCTGGAAGGAACGCCCCATGCAATCAGCACGCCCAGCTCACAGAAGTCAGGACAGAGAGTGCTGGGGGAAGGTGACTGTGGCGGTGAGTGGGGCACAGGCCAGGAGTAAGGACACTGTTTTTCAGTGCCAGCCCTGCTCCACCCAGCTGTACATACATGGGCAAGCCATGTCACCATCCACAGGTTCAGTCTCTTCATCTGTCAAATGAGGAGGATGCTAACCCCAGTGAGGGCTTGCAGTTCTTTAATACTAAGCTTCTATGCACTTTCAGGAAAATCAAAGAAATGCCATATGGTTCCCTAATACAGGTCTCATGTGGACCTCCTGAGATGGCGGAGTCACCAAGCGCACAAGACAAACATTTTACACTTGGCTCTCATCCTCTCCCGAGCATTTCAGAGAACGCTGAGGGACTGTCATGCTGTTTCTGTCACCTCCTGAAACCTACGGACGCGGGCAGTGCCCTCTAGCCTTTCCCTCCATGACACCACTGAAGAGCAGAGGTGCTGAGTGTTCTGTCCAAGGTCAGCGGCTAGGACAGAGTCAGAATTCCAGCCTCCTCGTTCCTAAGGCTATGCTATACTTTCCACGAAGAAACCAAGCCGGCTTTCTGGGAAGAATGCCAGAGGTTCCATTCTCCCAGCTGAGAATTCATTGGGATGTTGGAATAACAACATTGGAGACTGTGGTCTCTCCAATCCATTTCAGGACCTGGCTAGAAACATGAAAACCCAAAGAAAGAAGCAAGAGGGAATTATTCCGTTTTTTAATGAAAGAGAAAAAATTAGGGGTGGGAATATGGGATTTCTTAAAAATTACATGATTGCTAGAAGTTAATTTGGTATTTCTTCGTTGGTTTGTAAGTTCTGTTTCCAATCACAAAAACAGACAGCCGAGGATGCTGAAATCACATTTCAATGAATTAGCATCTTGTCCCAAAGAATCTTACCCACTCTGAATATCACATAGAACCCAGAATGCAATCCCTGTAGTAGAAAGGAATCTCCCTCAATGCAGTGGGGAGCTTGTCACAATCCCCTAAACCGTCATCTAAATTGGAAGTCTTCAAGCCCAACAGCAATCACTGAGAATGATAAAGGGGCTGCCACTCACTGGAGGCACACGACTGAGGCCCTGCCCTGACAGATGGGAGAGGTGGCATCCTCTCCCGTCCCTTACCATGCACATACTTCCTGTTGGGCTGAAGCCAGGGCCCCCAGAAAAGAATCGCATCACAGATGTAAAGACACAAGTTCAAAATGGAAGGTTCTGACTTCTTCCAAGAAAGGCCAACCAAAACAAGAAAATACATGTTGAACCCATGTCATGCCTTGAAGATAACATGAAATGAGCCTTATGGCAAAGCCCATGTGATCAGTACTCAGAGCTGAGATTCACAAAGGAAAGAAAGCAGAAACGATTTTCAAATACTTTTCCCCCTACCTGTCGATGATGACAGGGTCTGAAGGAGTCTCGTTTCGATTTCCACAACTTTTCTTTTCACAGCATCGACTGTAAATTGGGAAGGAACCAAAAGAGTAAAAGAAATTGGTTAAAATCAAGAAAATACAATGAGCATAGAGTGTAAGAACATTCACAAAAATGAATATGTCCTGGGTAGCATCTTCATGATCAACTGCTTGAGAGCAGAATTTTCAGCCATGTTTAAAAACAACAGTGAACTTGAAATCCAAGGACATTCACTTAAATTCTCACTCTGTGACTTAAAAACTGGGTAATTCTTAGCAAATGACAACTTTCCCAAGAGCCGTATTTATAATCAGAATCATGGACACCTAGATTTAAAAATCTATACAGTTATTTCCAGCTCAGCATTGAATAATTTTATAACTGTATATTTTAGATCTTTGTGTATTAATGTATATTTGAAGAAAGATGGAAAAGGAAAATGTATAAAATAGACCCCGAGCAGCTAACCTGATTGTTGTCAACCTTATTGCTCCAAAAAAACTCAGTGTACTTTATAAACATGCATGCATTCATTTACTTCCATCATTTTCTAAATATGAAGAGCAGAACTATGTTGTATACTTTAGACTAGGAAGAAAACTGTAACACGATAGCCCCAGTCACTGTCACCAAGTACGGAACAGAAACGGCGATGCATGTAGAAGTCCATCTTGAAAACGCTGCCTCCCTACACTTGCACCTAAGAAGTGCTGGCTGCCTGGTGGATACTGCAAAATGCAAGAGAGAAGGGAGAAGTCCTGGAACAATTACAAAGATAGGAAGGACTCTGGAGGACCTGGGCAGAGAGCAAAACACTCTGCATAGGAGATCCAGGCAATCATAAAAGGGCAACGGAAGCTTGGTGTGGAGAAGCAATGGAACGTGACCTCCCTGTGTAGTCCCATTGCTCCTGTCAGGACCACAGACCGCTGAGACCCTCTCAGCTCATGCAAGTACAGAGGCTTATGCAAAAAGCATGATCATCCACCCTAAATGCAGAATATGCCCAATAACCCTTAGCAACAACAACACTGCCCTCCCCACGATAGCTTATCTATAGCTGAAGACTGACTGATGCAGCCCAACGGGAAAACTGTTAAAGCAGGAATCAGACCTCGGAGCCTAACCCAACTCTGTCCCAAACTGCCTGCATGAATTTAGTCTCATCTCTTTAACTCCGCTGGGGTTTGCCTCCCTATATATAAAATTAAAATGTTGGACTAGGTTGTCTCCAGTGTCTCTTCTAGGTTTCAGAAGTCCACGAGACTATGAGGTTCGCTGGGCACCCTCCAAACACACCCACGGGGTGAGGAAGAGGCGGAGGCTGTGTGGCAGCAGGGGACCCAAAGGCCTAATGGCCCAGCGTCATAGATTTGCCCTCTGGTTCTCTGCACTGCTGTTACCATCTCAGACCCTCCACAGAATAATAAACAAACAAACAAACTAACTAACAAATATTTTACAACTTTTAAAATCTATCTCTCTCATGCCAGGACATATGGATGATTTAGTAAATAATTTACCATTCTCAAAAAAATAGACTATACTTCAGAGAGCTGCTTAAAATGTTCTGCTGAATGGGCACAATGAGGTTTTATGAGATTTACTCAAATTAGTAGGAAGTAAAAGAAAAATTGTCTCAACTTTCTTAAATACCAGAGCTTACCCCTGGGACTTTCTGAAATAATATTTTGCTTTTGAAATTATATCAGGCCTTAAGTTTTAATATTTCAATCCATCCCAAGATTAATACCAATAAAAATGCTGGCCAGCTGCTCTGTGCCCTGCATCCAAAGCCCTTGTGTCTCTTCCTAACTCCTATTCCCATCCATTTCTGTCTCCACCTCTCCTTTCTCTGTGGCTTATGTCAACAGAACCTCTGCAGCTCAGGCAAACCTTTGTTCTTAGCAATGCAATTTCAAAAGCCCCACACCTGCTAGTTACCTGAAGCCTTCTACCTAGGCTCCCCATTGACACCATCAGCAAGTCAATCTAACTCAAATCTGTTGGATGCCGGGTACAATTTAATTCCAACAGCACACACTATCAATCTGTTTAGTTTGAGAAGGAATGATTCTTGGGAAGCTAAGTTTGCAAAATTGCTCAGCTGAATTCAACTGCTTTCCATAGAAAGTTTCTCATGAGGAAAAGAAAAACAGATAAAAATGTGAGCCTGGTGCCAGTGTAGCACCATGTGGGGAGTCGGCTCAGGGAAGGAAATGATATTTAAAGAAAATGCAGAGAAGTTTCAGGGCCCGGTCTTCTATTTTTCCAACAGTGCCATATTTAATTATAATCTCTAATCTCTAATGAAAAGATTTAGAAGACACTTGACCATTGCACTGTAAGAATAAAGGGGTAAGAACAACAGGACTGGGCTGTATTTGCCCCGTTTGAGACCTTCTTAAAATTTCTCTGGGTTAGCCAGAGCTAATTCTTGTTTTCTTTCTTTTTTTAAAAGAAAAGTTCTCATCAACATGTCCTAGTTATTCCTTATTTGGTTTCCTAAATGACATTCAGTCATCATGCCAGAATGCTAAGAGAAGCAACGGGAAGTGGAAAGTGAAAGATGTTCATGAACTACCTTCCCCAAACAATCACTCTGGGATCAGGTATGTGGATAGTTGAGAGAGGGAACTGAGTCCCTGAACTACAAAGATAACAAACTCACTTCTCCCTTCCCTTTGACATATAGTCAAAGCCTGAGCGACCAAGTTCGGGTTCAGTTACTTTCATTAAAAAGGCTTTTTAGGGTCATTTCCTAACAAGCTAGTCTGTAAGTCTGAAGTTCTTCTTTAGGGAAAAATAAATAAATAAATGGAAGGAAGGAAGGAAGGAAGGAAGGAAGGAAGGAAGGAAGGAAGGAAGGAAGGAAGGAAGGAAGGAAGGAAGGAGAAAAGAAAGAGGGAGGGAGGAATGAAGGAAGAAGGGAGGGAAGGAGGGAGAGAGAGTGGAAGGGAGGGAGGGAGGGAGGATGGAGAAGGAAAGAAAGAAGAGAGGAAGGAAGGAAAGAATGAAGGATGGAAGGAAGGAGGAAAGAGAGGAAGGAAGGAGAAAGAAGGAGGGAGGGAGGGAGGAATTAGACAAAGAGAAGAGGAAACTGAACTTGACACTAGGGAAAGACTGTGTTCCCAAACTACCACAGTGAGGCTCAGAAGTGCCCTTTTCCCCTAATGAATGAAAATGAAAGCTCTTCCCTTACTCCTCCTGGGCTTAGCTTGCTTTGGTTTATTTTATTCTAGTGCTTGTTTGGAGAACCTTTTACCTGAAATACTCTCCATTTGCTAATAGGCCTCTTTCATCCTCCTATCTCTTCATGGGGTCTTGACAGGGAAAGGGAAAAAACACAAGTTGGGGGGGGGGGGGGGGAATGATCCTGAATCTTACCTGGATTTTTCAGAAAGCATAAAAAAGGTGGGAGAGGGATGGCTGGAGAGGAAAAAAAGCCCTGGCCATGGACACAGAGTGTCCAGTCAGCCAAACTCCTGCTCAGGAGGAGCCAGTATGCCCTTTCCCCTCCAAAATCGTTTTTTAAAATTCAACCCTCAACTTTCAAAAATCTGTCTCTAATTTCAAACTCAAATAAGCGCACAGCATGGTGGCTTTTGTTTTGTTTTCTTCTCCCCAACTCCTCCCTGCGATTGCATAACAAAAGTGTCTAAATTCACACCATCTGGCCCATAAAGACACTGGCCCCACTGCCCGGCTGGCCCATCTGATTAGGGCCCTGTCTAGCCTGCGCCTGGTGGGGAGAAGTCACAGCTGTGGGCTTTGCTCTGCTCAATACAACTCTGTTATTAGCCAGCTGTAGGCCTTGAGACGACTTCTGTTCAAATTATAATATCTTTTAACCCTCTGAGCATTTGAGGGCACGGGGTGGCTGGCAGCAACATAACCACTAGATTTCTCCTTGCTAATAATTGGCAAAATGAACTAAAGCAGAGAAGAGGGAAGTGTAGACAGTTGGAGAAGGAAGAAAAAGTTATTCCTGAAGAGATTTATATTGTTTCCCTCCTCAAAACTAAATGCTAATTTATGAACTTTTGACTAGAGATTACAGAACATAAAACCATGCCGGGAAATTTCCAGGTATGCCCAAGAACACCCACCAGACCAACGAGACCCAGCATTGCACGAGCCGGTGAGGAAACGGCCTCCAACTGCCCCTCCATCCCTGACTGCTGTCACTGGCTCCTCAGACGTGGAGAAGGAACTTTTCCCCCCAACGGAAGACCCAACCAGCTCAGACGGACACATGAAATGAGAACTTGCCTTTCATATGCATCCAGCATTTGACACTACCCCAGCTCATCTCCCAACACATATGAACACACACTACAGAGACAGTGCCCACCCATGGACCGTTTGTTTACTCATAATTAATGCTTGTTTTAAAGTCTAGTTTGGGAAGAAAATAGCGGAGCATCTCTTCCCAGGTCTCAAATGCAGGGAAGTTACAGTACATTAAATTTTTATATTGTGTTACTAATGCAGCCTAAACTAGAAGCTTTAAAAATTGATGCTTCTACTTAAACAGCATCAAATGAGGAGGATTTGATTGAGCTTAAAAAATAAAAATGTCAGCCTTAAATACAGCTGGGTGGGGCATGTAAGTATTACTTAAAATAATCGGTATAATTCATCAGACAATGGGACAGTTTGGGGCTTCCTTTCTTTTTAAGAAGATAATCTTTCCAAACAAAGACATTTAAAAGTATGAAGAGAAATTTTTAAAGAGCACCCTGCCATTAACCAACAGAATCTAAGTGTTCTGACTATTTAACCTAGGTATTATTGCACACAAGTTCATCTCCGAATTGTTTTCTTTCTAAAAGGATCTGTCAAGGGGCCCTGGGATAATGAAGCAGCTCTTTGCTTATTCCATCGGCCAGTACCTCACCCCGCTACTCAGGCAAGGAAGCCCCACTCCCTTAGCTGTGGCAGAGTTGAACTTTGCATTTGGCAAGGTTTGTTTTTCTAATACTTGGTCAAAACCAAAACAAGCATGTCTGATTGTCATGCTTCTCCCTGACTGGGCTGGGAGGGAGACGGGACTGCCAGGAGCTGACCATAAAAACAGTCTAAACTACAACAGCCACGACCCGCAATTACCCAAAAGTAGCAAGTCTGGAGTTGGGAGACACTTACTAAAGCAACAGTGGAGTGAGGGACTATCGAGGCTTTCTCTCTAACCAGAGATTTTGGAGGAAGAAAAATATGTATGGAATAAAATATTTACATTTTTATACTAAAATCACCACCGCTTCCCAGAGATCCCTTTTTATTGAAAAATCTCTCTCCTTTGCTGGGGGATCCCCGATACCTGGTGAAACGAGGCACTCAATAAACACTCACTGAAAAAAAGTGAATGAATTTCTTCTAATTTTTTTTTTGTTTTACTTCCTTCTAGTCAAGTAGAAGAAAGACTCGAAATGGAATGGATTGGTCTCTGCAAAGAAGACGGGCAAAAGTGCAGAGATTCTGGGAGACCGCGCCTCGCACAACCCAGCCATCAGAATCCAGCTGTTCCTCCAGACCTCCCTCCCTCCCTCCCTGGTGGGGAGCCCCACGATCTTTCCCCCTGGTGCCTCCTGACTTAAGAAACCCCTCTGACAGGAGAAATCACTGCAGGAGCAGCATCCCGGGGGAAGGAAATGCTTCCGCGTCCAGGCAAGCGCCTCAGCTGGGGGCAGGGGCGCCTTGGAAATGGGCTGCTGGACCCTCTGGTGCTCCCTTGCCCAGACTGTGAGTCTCCAGTGCTCTGACTCGGCAACGCCACTAGCGGCCCTTCCCTGGAAAACTACCCCGAGCTTGCCACACTGGCAGAAAGTACCTTGTTGAGCCTCAAGTACCTCGCTGGAGCAGAGACGGCTCAGGGACAGTGTCCCTCCCAAACTTGCCTGGGGAGAGCCCTGTCGTGCCTCCCCTTGCTGCCACCAACTGCTGGACAGCAGAGACTGTCCAGGTGGGAGAAAACTCCAGAGACACCTGGGGATGAAATCCCACGTGATTCTGGGTTTCCTTTTGGAGATGCCCTAAGAAGCTGGCCTTTAGTATGGGAGGTGCGTTGTAGTGACCGGCTGAGCGCCATCACTCCCGCATGTCCCGATAGGGACGCCCACCCACCCGCCTGCAAGCCAGAGGCCCGCTCCCCTGCCCAGCTTGCTAACAAGCCTCTCGGTACAAAGTAGCTCTTACCTGCACATGACCTCGTGTGTCAGAAGAACGCGGCACATTTCTGGATTCTTGTTTTGCCCCTCGTAAGCTATGGGCTGTGAAGGAGGCAAGGGCAGAGAGGGAAGTTGTGAGGGGAGTGGGGAAACAAAGAAAATGGGGCTTCAGAGCAAGCCCAGAACTGGCTTTCCTCTCTCTGCCCACTTCTTCATTAGGAGTGCCCGCTGGCAGCACAGAGCCCAAGCTGACTCAAGCGTGCCCCATCAGAACATATTTCTTGCAAAAGGCAATGTCTGGGGAAACTGAATCTCCCAATAATTGCTCATTCCCTTCACCTGTTTGCTTACCACCCCTCATGCCAAGCACCTCCCCACCCAGAAAGAAACAGAACGACTAGGAAGAGAGAAAAAAATTTTTTTTCCAGAGTGGACAAGGTGTGAGTTGATGTGTACAATCTAGTCTGACCCAGGAATTCACGGAGGGTGCGGGGAGGTCAGGAAAAGGCAGAGGAGGGGGAGACAAGGTCCTGGAGAGGAGCAGCCAAGTGGACCTCGGGGCTCACCTGCTTGGTGACTGAGTCAATGAGCCTGACGTACAAGTCCTGCTCCGTGCGGACGCCTGTGAGGGAGGGGATGGGCACAAGGTAAGGACCTCCAGCCCCACTCTGGAAACCCTCAACCTGTCCCCACCTGGGGCCAGGCCCAAGAAGCTGCCCAGCACTGTGGGTGGACCAGGTCCTGAGGGCAAAGACCACCCAAACAGCTCCCTGACCCTGACTGAGCCTCTCAAAACCTTTTCTCCCTGGGTCCCAACCACCCGCAAGCTACAGCACAAGGTCAACTCAGCTTTCCTTGAAAGGGAAATGTGCAGGCACCTGGACCCAGAGGGTGAGGGGCGCTCACCGTTGCTGTAGAGGAGCTGTAACTTGTAGTGGGTGCCGTTGTTGGTCTTCTCATTGCCTTGTTCCTAGAGAGACAGCAGTGTTGGAATTCCTTGCTCTTGAGGCCCCCAAATGAGGGAACAAGGAAAGAGTGCGTCCCTACACCCTCCTGCAGCCTTTCACCCCTACCCCCCAGCCTTTAACGACCCCTGCCCAGCCCTGGGTCAGATGCTGGAGCTTCTGCCACAGAACCACCTCCAAGACTTGCCAAGGTTCTTGGCCATTTGACTCTCTCCAATCCTCTGTCCCTCTCCCTTAAAAATGTCCTCAGATTGCAACCCCACCAGTTGCAACAAACCAACACCACACAGCATTGCCTTTAACAGTCCCCACCCAACCCACCCGGCTCTGTCTATCCTTAGCAAGTCAAAAGGCTTCTCTTGGCAGAGAGGGGAAGAGACCTGTTATATGGAAGGGCTGCATTAGTCCCTGTCTGGACAGGACCAGCACCTCCAGGGCCACAGAAAGCAGGGACCGAGGCACAGGGTCAGGAGGGATCTGTGGAGCACCCGCTCTAAGGCTCACGTTATACAGCAGAGACTGAGACCCAGGGAGGTCAAGAGATTTCCCTTCCATCACACACCGGCTTCCTTTGGTATCAAATGCAGTTCCAAACCCAGTCTGGGTTGGGAGCCAGAGGTTGGGGAGCAAGAGTAGGAGTCTCAGTGAGTAAGGGGAGGGGGGGGGGAAGGCCCAAGGCTGGGCTCTGGATTTCCACCTGGTAGCTACCCCACTCCTCGGGAGCAAGCAGGTGCAAAATAACCAATATAACACAGAGAAGGGCAGCGCAGTCTTGGGTATACTTTTAAACCACCCTCTAGTGGGAAGGCATTTGCACAGGTCAGTCCATGACCAGGTTCTGCTAATGACCCAGAGACTGGGTGCCAGAGCCACCAGTGCCCCTGCAGCAAGTGGTGGGTGCACCAGCACTGGAGTGGGGGCGGGAGGAGGTACACAAAAATCGACTGATTTAGAGGCCGAGAGTGAGAGGCCTCAATTTATCATCCCTGAGATGTGAACGGGAGAGTGTTACAAGTGACAGATGGAATCTTTAGTGCTTTGCAAGGAGGTAGTTTTTAGGCCACCAGAGGAAGAAGGGGACTCCCACTTACTTTGTCGTTCTCCACAAAGTCTACGAAGGCTGTGCGCTCAATCTCCACGGGCTGCCCCTGCCTGTCATAGAGCGCCAGGACGAAGTGAAAGAAGTTAGATTTCCTCAAGTTGGAGGGAGGCTGCTTCTCAAAGTGGGCCCGGGACAGGGCAACTCCGCTGTGCAGGAAGAAACAGGGGGACACCGGGCCCGGGAAAAGAGAAAAAGACACATTACCAGCAGGCCCATGCAACCCCGAAGAGGGTCCAGGGTCCATATTCCAGGTCAAGAATCCTGGACCCCGGGAATCTTTTTTTCAATATAGATTTAGAGGAGGATCCTTAGAAGAGTCTCTGTGGCCACAGGGGTCAGGTGGCAGGGCTGACCCTTCTAGCCTCTGCTCATCCCAGCATCTGGCAGCTTACCCGGCAGGCCTTTAGTAGAGACCAAAAGATCCCGGCTGCACAGCAAGGCCCCGACCGGTCCTCCAGGCAGGAGCCCCTTATCTGTCCTATCAGGTGTCCACCGAATAGGTCAGGAACTGGAGCTGGGCCCCCGGGGCTTGGGAAATAAGTGCCTTGTTACTTCTGAAGACGAGACGGTTTTCCTTCATGTTCACTTGAGTTGGCTGTTCCCGTGCTACTGCCCATAATGCCCCTGACCATGGTATCGGGGGAAAGGCGGTGGGTGAGAACTCGGGGTGGGGCAGGAAGCCCAGAGCCCAAGCCTCAGTCCTACTGGGAGAGACCTCACCTCCTGTCTCCCTCGCTCTTCCGAAAAGTTGCGCCCAGGGCAGTGGCAGGGTGGAATCCCCGAAACCAGTCCTAGGGATCGAGGGCCACTGGGAATGACCTGATACTGGGCACCCCCCTTCCCCAGAACTGCTGAGCTTGGAGAAGCCGAAATGTTAAGAGGCAGAGAAAGTCGTCGCCTGGGACCGAGAGGAGCCTAGCTCCTGTCACATCTACCCCGGGCGCCAGCCAAACTCACTGACCGCGAAATCCAAGTAGGAGGACCCGAGAGGTGCCCTCGAGCTTCCTGAGCGTGTATACACACCTCCCTGCCGACTTGTCGAGGCCTCGGGCGAACTGGCCGCCAGAGAACATTTAAGTGGAGACCCCGGGCCCAGGCGAGCGCGCAGATGGCTGGAGCTGCCCCGCGGTGCTGGGATCTCTGGACCTCATACCCCAGGGCGAGAGCACTTTTCACTCTTTAGAAGAGTGTAAAATTTTGCTAGAATACCCGACTCGAGCTGCCTGTTCCGATTTCCTAAGTATTTGGTGCAGGGAAAGAATGAAAGCAGGGTTGGTGTCTTTACGCAGCTCAGCGAAGCAAATGCGCCGCGGAGCCGGCTCTGTGGGACTGCCTGATTTCCCTCTGCCTGCAGACCTACGAGCTCCAGACAGCTACGAAAAGCCGCTGCCACCGCAGCGAGTGGTGTGCCCGAGCGATCCGGGCGCGTCCCCGGCTTAGGCAGGAGGGATGGAGCCGCCGCTCTCCCCGGGGCGATTCGAGTGCTGTTTCCTGTCCTCCGAGGGTGGCAGCTGGTTCGCTCTACCCGGGATACCTGGAGACCACGGCCCGCTAGGAAAGGAGGAATTTCTCGGCGTGATGTCGTGATGTCGGGACTAGGAGAGGAACGACCAGGAGAGCGGATGGAGAGGCTGGAGTGGTGGGAAGAAGTTCGTGGGCTCCTTGCGGTAAGGGCACTTTCTCTTGCAGACAAGGACGCGGGGACCAAAAACACCAGCTCAGCAGAGATGATGAGGAAGGGAGAACGGAATGTCGTCGCCGGGTGGCCCTCGGGGCCAGGCGTTTAGCATGTCAGCACGAGGACGCTGAGCAACACTCAACTTCAGGGACTAGCGGCTGGTGATTCCCTGCGTTTGCGGCCAGCTCCTCACTTCGCCTTTCTTCTGCAGTTTCTTCAACTCTGACTCCTCCGCCTTTTCTCTTTAATTTCTTCTTTCCCCTCACCCCTTCAAGGTGCTTCTGGCCCACCGCTTTATCTCTGCGCCTGGACCCTCCAGCCTGCCCCCTCCCCGAGTTCCCAGCCTCTTCGCCTTCCCAGGAAGCCGCTCCTGCCTCCCGGGCGCCTCTCGCCACCGCCGCCATCTGCCCCGCTGGGCTCCCGGCCTCCAGGAATCGCCCGACAATAACAGGCAGAAGAGGCTCTCGCAAACGGCTTGCCGGAGCCCGGCAGTTGCGGGAAAGCCGGCTCCGGTCCTCACGCTGCACTCCCGGCCAGGCCCTCCTCCCCGGGCAAAGGGCTGGGCGGCGAGGCGTTGGATGCTACTGTTATTTTTCCTCCCATAGAGTGGTCTGTGGGGAGGGAGTGAGGGAGAAACACAACGACCCAGGCAGTTCAGAAACTCGAGTGTGAGCCGCAGGGTAAGCGTTCCCCTCACGGCGCCGACCCGCCTGCCGGAGGGCGAGCCCCAGCGCGCGGGGCCCGGGCAAAAGATGCGGGGGAGAGAGAAAGAGAAGGAGCGAGCGAGCCAGGGGAGGGGGGACAGAGAGAGACCGAGACAGTGGGAGAGAGCAAACGAGCTAGAGACTTTGAGAGCATAATAATCGTGCGACAGTCTGGTTACCTCTGCGCCGCAACATTGGCGTCCACCACGCCGACATTCCGGACCCAGGACCTGACCGAATCCATCTCGGCGCCCAGCGATTTCTCTTTCAGAGCTGGTCCTCTTCCTAAAGTATCTTGAATCCCAAACATTTAAAAAGTCTGATCTGTCTCTTTAAAAATAAGAGTTACAACAGTGTCCTTACTGTTCCCAGCGTTGTCACCAAACTGTTTCCTCCAAAGCAATCCCCCCAAAAAAGGGATCAAGTGCTGAAGTTTGAGTCCCTCTTGGAAAAAAAAAAAAAAAAAAGATAACCCGTCCTTTGCTTCCTGCGTGAGATGCGGATTGGTGTAGTTAAAGTTTGGGTTTTTAATCCTCCACAAGTTCAGATCTGCCACCTCAGGCCCTCTGTCCTAGGTCGCTCGCATCCTTTCTGCGGCAACGCTGCCTTCAGAAAGTGATCACAATTTAGAAGCATCACCTGTTCTGGAAGAAACAGGAGGAGATTGATGGCTGCCTAATCTCTCCCCCTTCCTCCTGGTCCCCCACCCTCCCTGCTCCTCCCCACCGCTCCAATTTAGAAAAAAAATCCCCAACAGGATCAGTTGTAAAAGGAAGGGGAAGACCCAGAGCCGAGAGGAGGCGGTGGCTGCGAGCACTTCGGAGCAGAGCTGCAGCGGCGCACGGACCCCATGAATGGGTTACTACCGCGCTGTCCACGGGAGGCGGAGCCGCGGCCGGATAAGGAGCCTCATTTGCATGGACGCTCGGGATTGGGCGACGCCGGGCAGGCCGGCCGACGTCCTCTGGCGGCGCGCGCCACGCTCGGAGGTGAAAGGGGACAGAAAGCTGTGGACGCTGGCTGCGTTCTTGGTGTGCGTGCGTGGGATGGGGGCCCCAAATCCAGCTCTGTAGCGCGCTGGCCTGTGACGCGCCCGCTCAGTCTGGACGCGGGAGCGGGGAGCCTCTGTGGATCCCGCCTGTAGATGCAGATTTTTGTAGCCTGAGGGAACGCATAGTCATTCCCTGGGCTTGGGTCTTGTGCGTGTTTGTAAGGAAGCGGAGAGTGTGACCACATGTACTTAGGTTTTGTGCAAACGTCCCCCAGAGCAACCCACTTCCCCGAACGGCTTTCCCGAGTCTCCTGGAGTTACATGGTGCCACTCAGGTTCTGTGTGCGGTTTACAAGTTGTTGAGAGAGAAGGGTGTATGAACGACAGCGGGCGGGTGGGGGGGCGGCTGGGGCGCGCGGGGGTAGTACGAACAAGGCTCAATTTCTATTCAAATAAATAAATAAATAGCGCGTCGGGGGAAACGGCCAAGGAGCTAAGGAAAATACCCCCAGGCAGACGCGAGTGAGAGTCGCACTCGTGCGGATGAGAGGTTGCTGACAGGCCGTGGCAGGCTTGGTGCGAGAGCCGCTCCGCACCGTCTCGGGAGCCCCTCCGCCTTCCCCGCCCAGGCCCGGGAGCCCCGGGGAGCCAGCAGAGGAACCGCGGGGAGGCCGTGGGGGAGTCACGGAAACTTCGCCCGCGGCGCGCGGTCGCCCCGGCGCTGGCCGCGGGCTGGCTGGTGGCCGGGAGGCGGCGGCAGCTCCCCTAAACAGCTGAAACCCTAGACGGCTTTTCACTGCGCCGCGCAGCTCGCGGTGCCTATTAAAAATCCTCCTGGCTGGGTGTTATTTTCTTGCTTCTCCTTTTGTATTCTGATCTGTGCATAGATCTGCTGCTGAAATCTAGAACACCAGCGCGAAAACAGATTTGAAGACAATGAATGCAAATCTGTGCTCAAAGACCATCTGCCGTGGAGGAGACAAATCAGCTGTTCCTCAGTTCGAGCGGCTGTGCCGGAGCCTCCCAGCCTCATTATGGAGAGGCCCTGGCGCAACCGAGGTTACATTCGGGGGACTTTCCCCGACCCGGGACTCCAATCTGAGCGCGAATTCACTTCCGACCACATCACTTAGGTGTCGGTGAGCGCTCACAAATGAACTGTGAGAGTGTGCCGCTAGAGGACACAACGCTTTTGCAACTCATTTGCCTGGGTGGACAGGAAGCTCGAACCTTCAGAAAATGCCGCTTTCCGGAGAAAGGGGCCCTTCTGCGATTCCACTCTTCCCCAGGGCAAACGGCGACCCCAGACTTTGCCGGGGGATCGCGCTAAGGAAGCGCAAGTCTGTGCTGCGGAGATTCACTGGAAAAACGATGGGCATGGGGAGGGAGCGTGCGCACCCTCCCTCTACAAACCCAGGGTCCAGGGACTGGGTGACTTTAATGAAGGAGGTCGGGAACGTGAGCCGCCCCTCCTCTGGATAGTGCCCGCTGTGGCACCACGACCCCGGGGCTCTGGCTTGGTCCCCCTTGTTGGATAACAAAAGCAGGGGAGCCATAAAAGGTGACTAGGCACCAGAATATGCACCACCGCGATTGTAAAAGCCCGGTGAGATGGGAGTTGTCCAAAGAAAGGAGACAGGGTTCGAAATTTGTGGATGGTGAAACTAACTGCCGTGTTTCAACCATGCAATTCTCTATTACATGCAGGCTTTGTAGACATTTTCTGTCCCTGGAAAAACTAGGTACCCGAGTCTTTTACCCCGATTTACTCGCTTTATTTTTAAATCTATGAACCTCAAGTCACCACCCACCCCCATTCTCGTCCGTGGACTGTGCCCAGTAAAGGCAATGCCTCGGATTCCCTGGCGGAGAGTGTGGAACAGCCCGTGAGCCCCTCAAGATGTGTGGATGAGCCCCGAGATTTTTTCAAAGGGCCTCTGAACTGCGGCACCGCGAAGTTACCAAGAGAGGAACCGTGCACAACCCTAGGGGCCGCAGAGTGGCGGTGGGTCCCGGGGTGGCCCGGACCGTCTGCCCTTCAGGCTGGGTTGGCTGGGGTTAAAGGGCACAGCCAGGGTTGAGGACGCTGGCTCTTCTTGCCCGCAACAGCTGCCATCTAAATTATGCCCCTCAGGAAGTGAATGAATTGGTCCTTTCTCCCGGCTCCCTGCTGCCCTCCCTAAACCAAACAGCCGCGCGCCGTGGACGCCCCCACCCACAGCTACCAAAGACAAGTTCAGTGGTCAAGTGCCCTGCCTGCCGGAGGTAGTTTTGGAAAGCTGTAGCCCCGGAGCTTAAACCTGGGCTTGGGGGAAGCCGCACCGCTCCTCGCCGGTGGCGTTGGAGGCAGCCTCTCGCGGCCCCGCAGGGTAATCAGAGCAAACCGTGGCCACCCTGCTGTGGGCCCAGTGGGCTTCGAGCCACCGGCGACCAAGTTCGCCCTTGGCTAAGATGAAGTTTCTCGCTAGCGGCATGAAGAGGGCGGAGGGACAGGGAGACGGGGGAACGGCCTTGGGCCCAGCAAGGCGGCGCTTCAGCCTTCTGGGAGCAGAGTGCGTCTCTGCCAACCCAGTTGGGTTTAATTAGGTTTGTGTAGGCTTTGGGGGGCGGGGGGTGGGCGCAGAGTCGGCCACCCGCGCCGAAGGAGCATCGGTTAGTGCTGGAGTGAGCGGCGGCGGCAGCGCCTGGAGGGTCGATCCGTTCTCCAGCGCCTCCGGCTACCCTTGAACAAGCCTTTTCGAACGCTCCACACAAAACCCGCCCGGAGCCGCGCGGAGCCGGAGCCGGCGCAGCTGCGTCCCGGGGAAGCCCGGCCCCGCGGGGGTGCGGAGCCAGCGTGTGCCTCCCGGGCTCCTGGCCCTGGAGCTTCGCTTCGGCCCTCGAACTTCGTTCTGCCTCTTGCCGGGGTCGAGAAAAATACAAGATGAACATTATTAAAATTTTTCACGACAATCTATTTGCACAAAACCGGGGTAGGGTGGTGGCATTTATTATTTACCCTGTCCCCTCCTTTGTTCACTCTTCCCAGTGAACCCTCGGTTTTTTTCTCGCATTTATGTTTTACATCTGAACCTCAGTGTTCAATTTCTTCCCGATAGGTATTTTAAGGCCCTTTCCCCAATGTCGTTCGGCCCAGTCTCCTGGGCGCCGCGTCTCTCCTTTAGGTCAGAGGTTCGGAAATTTTCCTTAGAAAATTGCTCTCAGGGCCTCATTCACGTCCAGCAGGGCCCTGGTGAAATCAGGTGTGAAAACACCTCTGCCCCTTACAGCCTGACCTTCACCCCCACAACCAGTCACACACACTGCGGCGCCTGGGTTTGTGCAACCCGACGGACAGAGCCTGGCTCCTACTCAGGGAGTTCGATCCCCAGGGACATCCAGTCTGGGTTTTGTAAATAAGTAAGTGGCAGGTCCCCGGTAAACCCCTCTTCGAGCATGAGTCTTCCAATTTGTTTGTTTTTAGCTGAGAACTTTGCTTTTTATTCATCCGAGGAGAAATAAATAGATTTGCTCGCCTTCTCAGAACCCTGCTGAATATTTATCTCACAATGTATCATGAGATGTTTTTTTACATATCCAACACCACTACTACCTACTCCAAATTTCAACTTATGAAACCCACTTTTCTAATGAAACTGGACTTGTATACTCCATAACAGAGTTCCCAAAGAGGGAGGGGAAAAAGAAACTATTCTCAAATGCTTGGCAAATACATCAGGAAGACTCCGCCATCCATACTGAAGAGTGTCACCTTTTAGGACAATTCTGTAAGAAGTTAGATTCGGCTATTGATAGATCTTGCTTGCTTGCTTGCTTGCTTGCTTGCTTTTGTCTTTTTCATAGTGAAGGGAACTCCAGCGGGAGCGGCTGTGGAAAGCTGAGGCGCAGGAGGACACTGTAAAATCATGGAGTTACACACAGGACAGTCTGGCCACTGCAATGAGTTTACCCAAAATGGACTGAAGAAGCCAGAGTTAGCTCTATTCTAGCGCTTAGTGACTCCAGACAGTCTTTTTCTCAACTCTCTTCTTTTTCTTCTCTCGCCTCAGTATCCCCCCTGAAAAACAATATCCTTCCTCCTCGTTCCTTTATTCTGAGTGCGGAGCTAGCGAGAGAGCCTTAGACGAGGCAGAGAAGCGAAAGGTCAAGAGAGCACACTTTCGAAGGAACAACCTCATTTATGAGGACTTCTGGAGCGCGGATGTCAGAGATGGGCCCGCGGCGACACGCGAACGGTGGTCCAGGAGGCAAGCGCCTCGGGGGCCGGTGATTAATGGAGAGAGAAGTGCCTGGTCCGCCCTCCACGCAAACCTGGGGACCTGATTTCCTGGGCGTACGGGCGGGGTGCGAGTGAAGCCCGGGCTTGGGCTGTGCAGGGACAAACCGGCCGGTTGCAGCTGCCTCCAGCTCCTGCGGGTACCTGGGGAGGAAGAGAGTGCCCATTTCCGTCACCACACTACTTAAGGCGCAGCAACCCAAAGGCAAATTGACCCACATTTTGAGAAGCAATCGACTGGGTCTCCATTCAAGATAAAAGACAAACGAATGCAGGCAAGACGTTCGCCCAGCATTTCCTGGGTGCCAGCCACTTCCACACACTTTCTCACCCTTAAACTTGACAGCCACACTTTAGATGGGATTTATCTGCCCCCGCTTTACAGCTGTACAAAATGAGGATGACAGATGAC